TTGTTATTAGTCTGTTAAGGTCTTCTACTTCACTCTGTGTGAGTTTAGGTAGGTCGTGTTTATCTAAAAATTTGTAGGAGTACAACTTTTCATAGTATTCTGTTATTATCCTTTTGATTTCCTTTGATTCCATTGTGACATCACCCATGTGGTTTCTAATGCATGCTGCTTGTGTCTTCTCCCTCTTTTCTTTTGTTAGGTTTGCCAATGGTCTGTCAATTTTGTTAATCCTTTCAAAGAACCAGCTTCTTGTCCTGTTGATTATTTCTACAGTTTTTCTGTTTTCTATCTCATTTATTTCTGCTCTAATCTTACTTCTTTTCTTTTAGTGGCTGTAGGTTCCCTCTGTTGGTCTGTTTCTAATTGTTGTAGATGCTGTGTTAATGTGTTAATTTTGGTTCTTACTTCTTTTTGGATGTGTGCATTTATTGCAATAAGCTGTCCTCTCAGTACTGCTTTCACCGTGTCCGAAAGATTTTGGAAACACAGTTTCCATGTATTTCACTTTATTTCCCTGGTCTTTTTTATTGTTGATTTCCAATTTGATACCATTGTGGTCTAAGAAGATGCTTTGTAGTGTTCTGATATTTGTACGTTTATGGAGCTTTGTTTTGTGGCCTAAGATATGGTCTATTATGGAGAATGTTCCATGTGCCTAGAAAAAATGTGTATTGTGGTTGGGTTGAATGCTCTGTACTCATCTATTAAGTCCAGTTGGCTGATTGTGTTGTTTAGTTCTTCTGTGACTTTGTCAAATTTCTTTCTGGTTGTTCAACCCATTTTTGAAAGCAATGTATTAAAATCATTCACTACTATTGTAGATTCGTCTTATTTCTTTGTCCAGTTCTATTAGTTTGCTTTATATATTTTGGAGTTCTTTCTTTGGGGTCATAGATATTTATTATGCTTATGTCATCTTGTGCAATTGTACCTTTAATCATGACATAATGTCCACTCCTGTTTGTTTTTGATTGTAATTAGCTTGGTATATTTTTTTCTATTCTTTCACCTTTAATCTGTTTTTGTCTGTGTGTAAGATGTGTCTATTGCAGACAGCATATTGAAGGAACTTGTTTTCTTACCCATTCTGCCATCCTCCGTCTCTTAACTGGTGCATTTAATCTGTTTACATTCAGTATAATTATTGACAGGTATGGATTAATTGCTGCTTTCTTTGTTCTGCATATCTTCCTGTGCTGAGTTCATGGTTTTTGTGTTGTTTCTTGTGAGTTTCCTCATAGTTTTAATGTTTCCATGTTCTTCAATTTTCATTTTCTTGGTATGTTGTGAAGTGTTTATTTTCTTGGCAGTTAACTTATATTCCATTAACTTTTCCCTCCATTTCATGCAGTCTATTTTATCCTGTAATCTAACTGACCTTCTCACCATGTGGATCTCTGTTCATACATATTTACTGTCTTTCACATTGTAATTGTTTTGATCATAGACTGACCTCCCAGATTCTCTGAATTAGTTCTTACAGGGACGTGCTGCCTCGTGTCAGTCTCTGGTTGTTGTTGATTCTTGTTGTCTTGTTCTTTTTGGTTCTCAGTCCACAGAACTCCCTTTAGGATGTTTGTCATGCAGGGTTGGCTTTGGCAAAGTCCCTTAGCTTCTGTTTATCCTGGAATGTTTTGATTACACTGTCTTATTTGATTGATAACTTTGCTGGATAAAAAATTTTGGGTCGGCAGTTTTTTCTTTCAGGGTTTTATATGTCTCCCCATTGCCTTCATGGTTTCTCCTGAGCAATCCAAGCTTAATCTGACTTGTTTGTCTTTGTACGTAACGCTTCTCTTTTCCCTAGCTGCTTTCAGGATTGTCTCATCATCTTTGATTTTGGAGAGCTTGATTATGATATGTCTTGGTGATTTTCTTTTGGGGTCTATCCTTCCTGGGGTTCGTTGACCTTCTTGAATGTTTATCTTTTCAGGATGTTAGAGAAATTTTCTTCCAGCAGGTCAACTGTTTCCTCTGTGGACTTGTGTGATTCTTCTTGTTCTGGAATGCCGATAATTCCTCTTCATGTTGTCCAACATAATTTTTAGACCTTCTTTGGATTTTTTTATCCTTTTTTCTGCTTATTTTTCGTAGTGGTGTGGTGTTGAGAGATTTGGCTTCCAGCTCACTAGTTCTGCTTTCCATCTCTTCAATTCTACTCCTTTGCCCTTTCAGAGTATTGTGTGTTTCTGATATTCTATCTATCATTGATCGTTTGGACCTCTCTGTAGGTTTTGAATTGTTTCCAGTGCTATCTTATTTGATTTATAATCATTTTTCTGAGTTCCTTCTAAGGCATTTCCAAGGCCTGCCCTCCTTCCATCATGGAATCCAGGTCTATATCTAGGTCATTTGTCTCAGACATTTTATTTTGCTTCTGGACATGTGCTGATATGGCCATCTGTTGCATGTTTAGTGGCTAGCTGTGGCCTTGAGTGTGTGTTTTGGTAATTTTTATGCTTTCTGATTGCCTCCAGATATTTGTGATCAAGATGTAGGCTTTCCTTTTCACTTTTCTTATTGCTTAGAGTAACTTTTGCGAGTGTTGCTTGCCTCCCTGTGTAAGGCAGTTGGTACTGGAGTTCTTGCCTGGATTACGGGGTTTTATAGGGTGTGATTGTAGGTTGACTATGTGGCAGTAATTGCTATCTCTTTTTGGGTAATGTAGTGAGAGAAAGAGCTCCCTAAAGGTAAAAAGGGTAGCCAAAAGAACAAAAAATTACAACAGCATCAGTAAAATAACAAAATAAGAAAACAAACAAAACCAGATTGGAGACTGTAGTCTGTAATTGCACTAAAGGGAGAGAAGAGAAGGGAAAAAAAAAAAAAAATCTGTAGCCTAATATGACTTTAATATCCTCTTTCAGCTTTTACAAGGCTGCCTGATAAATTTCAAGATGCCACTGTTATTTGTTATGCTGTACCTCAGCATTTTAATTTTTGGCCTGTTTTGTTTTTAAACTCTCTCCCTCTCTACATCCCCTGTTCTGGCCTTTTCCCTATTAATAAGCAGTTCAGGGCCAGCTGTGGCTGTTCTGTGCTGTCAGTTGGTTTTGAGCCGTGACTGTCTCTTTAAATGCTGAGAGGATCTGTGCGCATGTGTGGCAGGACTCTCCAGTGGTGGGAGTGGGGGTTGTCCACTCGCTTAGGCACTTCCGAAGTCCGCAGGCATTAATCCGTGGAGGGTCTGCTTGATCTCGCCCAAGTTGTTGGCTCCGGGCCGCTGAGCCCAGCAGATTCTAAAGTACTAGATTTTTTACTTCCGCTACAAGTTCCACTAGCTGTAAGTCTTGAAATTTTAAAAATATTCCTATATGTGGTTCAGAGTTTTGGAGCTCTCCCCAAAATCTGCTTCAGCTGGTATTCTGTGGTATTATTGACGAAGATCTTAATTGTACCTCTACCCTAGCCGCCACCAAGCCCTGCCTTCTCCACGTGGTTATTTTTAAAACAACAAATACAAATAAAAAACACTAACATTCTTAACACATCAGAGTCAAGTACCACACTAAAAGGTAACGTTTGCTACTGTTTCAATATAATCTCAACATATGTTACATGCCATGGAGTTGGTTGAAACTCATAGCAACCCTGTACAGGGTTTTTGAGGCTGTAAATCTTTACAGGAGCAGAAAGCCTCATCTTTCTCCTGCGGAACAGCTGGTAGTTTTGAACTGCGGACCCTGAAGTTAGCAGCCCGATCTGTAACCACTACGCTACAAGAGCTCCTTAATCTCAACATATAGAATGTACTGATTTATTTCCTAGTGACAACAGTTCAGTCTATAAGATACTGTTCTGCAGAAGAAGCACTTGGCAGGAGAAATTCACTGTTTGAACAACTAGAAATAGGTAAGAGGGCAGACAGATGTTTGCAGCAGAATGTGGCCAAGCTTCGGAGTTACTGCAGCTACAGAAAGAATAGAGTCCAGGTCTTTTGGTGGTTACACGAGGCCAAATACAGTTCTCTAGTGCTTTAGGGTGTGTTTTACAATCTTTCCTGGTAAGAGTTTCAAGTCCAGTAGAAAGACATGAGAAACTGTCTTCATGAAAAGAAGAGCATGGTACTACTACATGAGGTCAGTACTGCCCTGAAAAGACCCATTTATAAAATGTACAGAGTCCTGGTGGGGCACGGTGGGATAATACACTGGACTATATAAGCCACAAAATCTGTGGTTCAACCTCACCAGCCACTCTCTGGAAATCCTGTACAGGGTTGCTATGAGTTGGAACTAACTCGACGGCACTTAACAATGACTGAGGGGCATTACTAGCAGAAATCAAGAATGCCACATCTTCTACAATACTGCAGTATTGAACAGTGCCCTCAAAGAACAAAGAATTGCTTCCACATAGCTTTTGAATGCTATGTGGAACATCGTATGGCTGAAACACCTGATTATAACCCTTGCTATTTTTAAGTGCTGTGAGTCAGTTCCATCTCATTGCGACCCTGCATAGGGTTTCTGAGAAGTAGCTGGTGGGTTTGATCTGCCGACCTTTTGGTTAGCAGTCCAGTGTGTCTCCTACACAGTGCCACACCAGGACTCCAATTATAATCCTAGGGCATGTTTTGTACACAACCTTAAAATATTTGTGCAAGTTTCAATATACAATGCATATTCCAATAGAGCAACTTTAGTGAGAGTCGACCATGCCTTGGTGTGTTTGAGTTTTTCATTATTATTCATTAAAACAAAACATACATCACAGCATCCAAGAAATATGCCCATGGCATTTAAGTCACCAAGAAAACGGGTATATCAGTCTTCAATTCTAGCTCTTTCATGTACAAGTAGAAATGCAAGTCTCTTGGCTATTTCATTAGTTCTTCTAGCATAGCTGTGCCCAGGCATCTAGCATATACATATTGAGATATTTTTATTATAAAGAAAATACACTGCAAAAATGATACTAACTCAAGTTTATAAATATGCAAGTCAGTAACACTGAGCACATTGTTCTTATTCTCTATGTTTTTTGTCTTGGGCTCTTACCTCTTTGAGGATTCCAGTGTGCTTAGATTTTGCATTTAGAATTTTCTGAAATTCTTCAGATTCCAGATAGGCAAGCTGCTCCTTCCATTTTTTCTTAGCAGGTTCTAATTCATCCTCAGCTAGAGCAGAAAGGAAAAACATGAACCGTTAGGAGAAGAATTTCAGAAGACTGTTATGGTCCACAAATGCCCTTCCCTCTATTCTTTCTTCCTCTGCCTGCCAGGGTATCAGCAAAGGAAAGTTCTTGAGGAGAAATGCGTTGAGTAGAGCACACGGGGTGGTGGCAGGTGTGATCACTAGCTAAGACCGTAAAATAGGGGCTGATTATGATATAGACAATAGCAGCAAAAATCCTACTTACAAATTGGTATGAAAATAACTGTTCAAATTGTGTATAATTTTACTGCAATATAATGTGATTATAGAGGTCAATTAATTAGTTGCAGATGTTTACGTTCTGTTTGTGTAGCGGTAGTGTGAAGTAAAATAATAACTTCTGATGCCAGGAATGCTAGTTTCTTTCCCACTAGTAACTTTGAAGTTTGCAGTACCTTGAGGAGAAAGTGTATTGTTCTTTTTCACACGTTCCATCACTTCCAAGACATCCTCTGGGTCCCTCTGCTTCCTTTTAATGCTGTTTGGGTCTGTCTTCATAAGAATCTGGCTTTTTGCTCTTAATTTAGTTATTGCAGCTAACTAGAAAAAAAGAGATTTAGAAAAAGAGATTTAGGGAGATGAAAATCTAAAAGATGGGATGATGTTGTTAAGTGCCATCAAGTCGGTTACGGCTCTTAATGGCTGTGTACAGGGTTTCTGAGACTAACTTTGCAGAGGCAGAAAGCCTCATCTTTCTCCCACTGAGTGGCTGGTGGACTTGAACTGCCAACCTTGTGGTTCCCAGTCCAGTGCTGATCCTACAGAGCCATTGTGCTCCAAAAGATGAGATGTTGTTAAGTGCTGTTGAGTTGGTTCTAACCCACAGCACCACATTAGGACTCCCAAAGATGAGATTGGCACCTACAGACCTGTATGTTCCTCTTGCAGTGATTAAATAGTGAACTCTGGCTGCTCTCAAATGAATCTGGCAAAATGTTTCTGTTTAACTTAGCAATATGAACACAATGGTTAACAACATTTCAGAAGCATGGGAGACAGGTCTTTTACCTAAGCTAGACTGTAGACCTCAGTGGCAGCACAGCCATTTTATCAAGACCTCACACAGCTAGAGAAAGACTAGGGAGGACACTTTAGACTTCCCTGCTCAGTCTTAAAGAGAGCAGCTTCCTGGCTTCTGGACACACGAAGGAATCACATTACCATTTGGAAGTTTGTTTTGGAATCGGACAGAACTGGGTTAGAGTTTCAGTGTTGCAATTTAGTATCTTGTAATCTGACACAAGGTATTTAAGTTTTCAAGCTCAAAAGAAGAATAGGCACCAGTCAAGTAGTTTGAGGGTACTCAAGGTGAAGCGTGTTGGGCAGTGGGCTTTTGAATACGTATAGCCCCCACTTCAACCAGAGTGGCTTAGTTTTATCTGTCTACAAATTGGATTCTTGCATAAGATGTCTTTCAAAGGAGTCCTGGTGTGGCACTGTGGGTTAATGAGCCAGAGTGCAAAGCCGTTTGAACTACAAGGTCAGTAGTTCAAGCGCACCAGCCGCTCCTTGGAAACTCTATGCAGGGTTGCCGTGGGTCAGAATCGACTCGATAGCACTTAACAACAAGTGTTAATTAAACAAGCTTGAAAAATACTATTTTATAGCTTTGTCTCAAATAATTCCAAGAACGCTTTACTATTTCCAGCTGTAATACAATCTTTTTCTACACTTATCCCCTTCAGTCTGACCAGAAAGTGTTGACAGTGGCTCCCTTTCTTGGATTACATAAGTAGTATTATGTTGATACCATTATCATTTAAAATTCCTTTGACTTCAATAAATAGCTGTTGTTGCTGAGTGCCATGAGTCAGTTCTGATTCCCAGCGACCCTGTAGAGGGTTTTCAAACAGTAGCTGGTAGATTTGAACTGCCAAGACTCCAGTAATGAGTATAGACAGTTTGAAACTCAAGTTGTTGTTGTTCAGTGCCGTCAAGGACTCCTTGCAGGAGGCACATCCAAGTGTTTTAGAAGTAAATGCCAGTTACCTTTTTGGCCTCTGCTAAAGCATTCAGTTTTGGTCTTGGTGGCGGTGACTCATCAAAGAAGAGAACATCGTCTCCTTCAGAGATGCCTCGCCCAAGCTTGGGTGTCTGTGTGGTTGGGGCTTCCTCCTGCCTGGGAAACTTGGCTCCTGTTTGTGAAGACTGAACAGGGGGCTGTCGAGAAGAAGATGGCAGAGCTGGGCTCTCGCCTTTACTTGAGCTTTGGAGAAATCTTGAAAAGAAATACACAAACAAGGTACTTGCTTGTTAGAAGATGCAAACACGTCTCTAGAACTCAAAGGTCTTACATGCTGGGAGATCTTACACACAAACCCCGCACTGACAACTAGTAGTTAGTAAAATAATGTCCACTTCTTGGTTAGTAATTCAAATGAGCTCATAATAAGAACAATACAGGTCCCGCAAACTCCTTTGTTAATTGATTTGTCATTGAATAAGCTATAATTGCTTTCCAATTTAGGATTATTATTTTTACTAATTTTTAAAATTTGATCAATATTTTCTAGTGGCTCTCTTCTAGAGGACACAGACATGAAGCAGAGCCACAGACTGCATTCCCAGCCCTCTGGGTACCTCTAGGTGCTTTAGTTTGCTTTACTCTGGTGGAAAGATATGTTACATGTTACATGGGACACATTTGGAAGTCTATCATAGAAAGGCATTATAATTTGCATGGAAATTGTTTCAAATATAGTTTTAAGGGCTATTTTTTAAAAAAACCAAGTTTAGTCCAAATCTCTTACTTTATCCCTGAAGAGATTGAGGCCCAAGATTGTATTGTGCTTAAAGTACCAGACAATCTGGGGTTAGTACTCCTACACAGCCACTCTCTGACATCCTGGGCTGAGCCTGCTAACACGCGAGCTCCTTTCCCACAGGCCCACATCTCTGTACATATTTGTGTCTCCTGTCGACACACAATGGATACTGTGCATCAGAGACCACACCAGCACCTCAGATTAACCTGTCTGAGTCCACACCCATTTCCTATTTTCCCAAGAGTTTCCTCTTCACTTATAATTGACTTGCTGTTCAAGGAACTACCCAACTGTCAGTAGCCCAGATTTGAGACAGCATGATTGATTGTTAAACACTGGAGTAGTGAGTTTAAAAAAGAGCTCTGGTAGCGTAGTGGGTTACGAATCAGGCTGTTAACCTCAAGGTCAGCAGTTTGAAAATACCAGCTGTTTGTTCCACGGGAGAAAGAGAAGGCTTTCTGCTCCTGTAAAGATTTACAGCCTTGGAAACCCTGTACAGGGTCACTATGAGTCGGAACCGACTCCATGGCACACAACAACAGTGACTTAAAAGTTGGGTCTCTGACCTTGTTTCATTTTTCACCAAACCAGGATAAGAATACGAGTGTCAGAGTCACTGTGAGGACTATATGAGACACTCTCTTTATACAGACTGTATAAAGCCCAAGACTGTATTGTGCTTAAAGTACCAGACAATCTGGGGTCAGTACGGTACGTGTTACTACATTTTAGACAACCTGAATTCAGGAATCTTTGATTTGTCCTCCTTCTACATCCATTTCCACTCGTCTTGCCTCTAAAATGACTGTATTTATAGTGTCTCATTTTATCATTCACCTCAGCAACTGCAATCTCTATTTGTTGGCTCAATCTAATTATGGCATACCAAAAAAATGGGAGCCAAACAGGCCAAAGGATGCTTTTCCATTTCATAAAGGCCTTGTCATATTTTACGCCTGTTCCATTTGGTATCAGAATTCCCTAGCCCAAGTATCAAATACATAGGATTAAGTGCTGTTGAGTTGGTCACGATTCATAGTGACCTTGGAGCGACTGGTGAGTCTGAACCGACGACCTTGTGGTGAGTGCTGTGGTTGAATGCTTATCCTATAGCACTACACCAGGACTTCATTTAGGTCATGTTATAATTACTTTAAAACTTACAAAGTTATAATAGTAGCCAACCTAACATTCTGAGGGTTTCCTAGAGGTGTTATCTACATGTGGGCTATCAAATGGCCACTCTTACCGTTTCTGGATTTCTTCTGCTTTCTTTTTCCTCATCTCCAACATACGTTGCTTCTGTTGCTTCAAGAGGACTGATGCTGAGATAGACTGTATAGCAGGTGTAGGGTTCCCCAGGATCCCTAAAACAGAAGGCCGCAGATGGAAAGTGTTCACTGAGAGGCTGAGGGAACTCCTGAATACACACTGCACTAGGAGTCCAAGGAATACTCGGCTGCTAGCCAAAAGGTAGGTGGTTCGAAACCACAAGTGGGAAAAAAGACTTGGTGATCTGCTTCCATAAAGGTTGTTGTCGTTAACTACTACTAGAGTTGGTTCTGAGGAGTGACTGGTGGGTTTGAACTGCCACCTTGCGGTTCAGTGCTTATCTTTCAGTATCATACCAGGCTAGCCTGTGAAGATTACACACAGCCTTGGAAAACCTGATGGGACAGTTCTTCTCTGTCCTACACAGTCACTACGAGTCAGAATCAACACAACAGCACACAACACCAGGAATCGCATTAAACTGTTAATGTCATTGGCTGCTAAGTGAAAGGTTGGAGGTTCTAGTCCACCCAGAGGCACCTCAGAAGAAAAGTCTAGCAATCCGCTTCTGAAAAGCCTACAAAGTGCACTTTTACTCTGAAACACATGGGGTGCCATGAGTCAGCGTCCACTTGATGAAACAAGCAAGTTGACTGTACCTGATGTCTTGGCTTTAGCCAAATGCTGTTTTAAGTTTCTGGCTCCAAAGGTGGGCAAGTCCATCAATTCTCTGAACTCCTCAGAACAAGATAAGCTCTTCTGTGGTATTCCTATAATATATAAACAACAGCTTTATAGGACTCAAAATTCAGACAGTTTGATGTCATATGTATTACCATCTCATATTTTATTAACTATTTATAATTCTATCATTTATAAATGAACTAGTAGACACAGCACCAAGAGGGAGAAAATGTAATTCTTGCCTGTAACGTCAGACTCTAAGTGCTGTTGAGTCGATTCCGACCCATAGCAACCCTGTATAGGGTTTCCAAGGAGTAGCTGGTGAGCTTGAACCACCGACTTTGCAGTTAAAATGGCTTTGCAGTCTCACGCATTAACCCACAGCGCCACACATCAGACTAGCAAGATACAAATATATCTTGTATCTAGTTATGATTAGGACATTAAGCAATCAATGTGTATTGGGTCATTTCATGCATTATTTCTGGAATATTCACTATGGCAGAGGTAGTCCTGGTAGCATAGTGGGTTACATGTAGGAATGCTAACCACAAGGTCAGCAGTTTGAATTCATCAGCCGCTCCATAGGGGGAAAGATAGGCTTTCTGCTCTCGTAAAGATTTACAACCTCAGAAACCCTATACAGGGTCGCTGTGAGTCAGAACCGACTCCACGGCACATAACAATACACTATGGATAAGGGCCTATACTTGGTCCTGACCACTCTTTATGAATAAAGTCACACCTAGAGGACAGGGTGGTATTTTCTGATCTGTTCTTACTGGACAAGAAGAGTTAAGTTTAGATATGGCAAGAAATTTAAAAAAATTTAAAAACATGCTGAATTAAAACACTGCTAGAATTAATTCAGAAGTACCTGTGGCATAGTTAATGCGCTTGCCTGCTAACAGAAGGATTGGATGCTTGAGTCCACCCAGAGGTACCTTGGAAGAAGGCTTCATGATTTACTAAATCAATCAGCCACTGAAAACTTCTGCAGAGTGCTGTTCTACATAGGGTGGCCATGGGCTGCAGTCAACTTCATGGCAACTGGTTAAGGGTGAGTATGGCATTTTTTCTCAAGTTACTGCTAACTATGCTTTCCTTCAAGACATAGGCCATGTTATTATTCACTAAATTTATGTGATGAATGGGACTTTATAACCTAGAATCTGAGTTATACCCAGGTCAGTCCTGGACAATACATGTTTAAGCTAGAGAAAGAAATTTAATATGGCTTAAGTGACATTACCGAGTTTTTGTCGAGTTTCCTGAATAATCAGGTCTGAGCCCTTAACAACCATATCAGTCAGAGTGGTTTGGATCTTCTTCTTAGGAGCAGTAGTGGCTGCACTGAAATGACAAGAGCCACCCGGCCAAATGCTGATGAGGTAAAGAAGGCACAGAAATACTCAGTTCAACTATTGCAGAACATCCGAATTTGTCAAAGCATTGAATACAGACTGGCTTTCTTACTGCCAGGGTCCTGTGGGGCACATAATCAACAAGCAGAGGTCACAAAGCCCACAGATTTGTTTGAGGTTGTCCCGGGGGATAGTTTGGCAATGGAAACTCAGTATAGGTTAATACTGCAATGCCCATGCACGGGGAATTGCCTAGGTAACCATAGAGCTATATGCAGAATACTGTAGTGCCTAGGTAACCATAGAGCTATATGCAGAATATTGTAGTCACTAAAAATAATGCCACAGGTGAGTGTTTACAAAGGAAAACATTATTTTATGTGGAGAACAAGATGATACAAACCCCAGGTATAATATGATCTCATTTTATATGACTAGAACTTTGTATGTGTGTGGGCGGTCTGGGAGAGGAAGGGACACCTAGAAACACATATACCCAGTTATCTAGGCTGTGAGATTATGGATGGTCTTTGGCTGGACTGCATAATCTATAAGGTATAGGTATTGCTTTTGACAATTTGGAAAAGTACAAATGCGATTTTGTATTACAATATGTGCTTAAAGTTGTCAGAGAGACAGAAAGTACAAATCTTCTTGCCCAATTCCTGTTAGATTTTTGTTTATGTTTTGTTCTTGGACCAACCGCAGCTCCCTCGTATCAAGCCCCCCCAAACCCCTTCTGTTCCCAGCTATGTTTCTCACTAGGCGTGACAAGGCCATAGAAGACCTATGGAGAGTCCCTAGATCTCTCTTCCCTGGGCAATACTTCATTACATATTCATTCGTTACTTGGCTTCTGGGGCCTGCAACCTCACTCATATGAGTCCTAAGGGAAATGAATTAAATGGTAACACCAACATTAACTTACCTTGAAAAGAAGTTGCTCAATATTTGCTTCTGCAAACATTGTTAATGTGACATAACTTAATTTTATAATCAGTCCAGATAAAGCTGCACTATTCACATTAGAGTCAAATATGAAGTGTCGGGGCCTCTTGTTAAAGAGTAGCATGACCTACTCATGCCTCTCCCTTCAATGTGTTCCCCTCTCTGTCTGGAAGTACCTTATTAGATGCAGTGAGCTACCAAAGGTTGAACAATATTCTGACAGTTACAGAAAAGTGTAACCATTGGATTAATTCTTATGAGACAAACCGAACACTTGTCCCCAAAGAAGCCCTGAGAACGTCTTACACCGAGGCAGCATATGATGCAGACGAAACTCCTCCGTAGTAAAAACCATCTCGACACAGTCGTTCCTTTAGGCTGCTGCCTTTGTGGGCAAACTTCTTTGGAATTCTTCCTCCGGAGAAGGTGGACTGCAGATCTGCTCGCTTTGCACTCAGCTTCCTGTACTGAGCCTGGACATGGTACTGACAGTACTCGCAGTCGTTCTGTTAAAAAGGACAAGCAGCCACATCAGGGTTAGGGTCCTAGGCCAGGGACAGGGCATCAGAGAGACCCTTCCTCTGATGCCGAAAGGGTTTCAGTGGAGCTTCCAGACAAAGATGGACTAGGAAGGAAGGAAAGCTGGTTGATCTGTTTCAGAAAATCAGCCAATGAAAACCCTCTGCAGTAGGTGTGCTCTCCTATTGACTGAGGATGGAATAGGCCTGTGCAGCTGGTCATTCGGCATGAAGTCACTGGGGTCAGGGGATGACTCAATAACAGCCATCAGTTCCTATTACTCCAGCAACTCCAAGCCTTAACATACCCAACTTGACAACCACCAGGATGACTATAATAAAAACAGACAATAACAAGTGTATGCGAGGATTTGGAGATATTGGGACTCTCATACATTGTGGTGGTGGTTAAGTGCCGCTGAATTGGTTCCAACTCATGGCGACCCTGTATAGGGTTTCTGAGGACTGGCTGGTGGGTATGAACCACTGACCTTATGGTTAACAGTCTAGTTGTGTAAGTCTTAAAAAACAAATTAAACATAAATGTGGAAACTCAACTGATAAAAGATGGCACAGCTATAAGAAGAAATGAAATACCAGTACATAACTGCATCATGGATGAGCCATGATAGGTGAAAGAAGCCAGACATAAAAGGCCACATGAAGCCAGACATAAAAGGCCACATGATGTATGATTCTATTTGTGAGAAATATTCTGAACAAACAAATCATTAGAGACAGAAAGATGAGTGGTTTCTAGGGGCTGGGAGGCAAGTGTTAATTGGTCTGGGGTTCTTTTTGGGGAAATATTTTTAAATGTTCTGAAATCAGAGAGTGGTGATGAATGTAGAACTCTGAGATGTATGAAGAATTATTGAATTGCAGACTTCAAAAGGGTGAATTCTATGGCATGTGCAATTAAATTTTTTAAAACGAACTCTATGAAAAAGTGAAATACAAAATTTAGACTAAAATATGGTTTCTGATGTGTTTTTTCTTAATAGGTGAAATTCTCCGTCTTTCCCAACAACAAAGCCTTTTCTGAAAATGGCAGATTTTTTTAATAGCATACAACTAAAATTCAGTCAGTTTTCTCATTTTGACTTTTGAGTTCCAAATTGGTCAGTACAGCTGAAGTACCCACTATTTCTAATATTTCCCTTTTTTTAGAAGAAACCATATTAATAAGGTGAAAACCAACCAAATTAACCATCTGTGTGCACGGCTGACCGTTCTTCTTCTTTGCTTTACAGATTCCCAGGTCCAGAGCTTCACCCATAATCAGGACCTTTTGAGGATGATCAATAGACAAGCATACCTACAATAGAGGTGGGTAGAGATTAGCGCAAGCCAAGTCTGATGGTTTTTTATCAGCAAAAATGGTTGGTGATGAGAACAAACAGGATGGCGGATCAGGCAACTTAGACACTGACTACCTGAGGGGGCAATAAAGGCACGAAGTGACTGGCTTACAAGGTTTCAAGAGGGAGCTTAGTTTAAGAGTGTGGGGGGGGGAAAGAAAGAGTCCCCACTGAAGAGCTATCATCTTGTCTAGATGGGTCTGGGGAAAGGAGATGGGGATAAGATTCGTAAGATTCAACAGTGAATAACTGTTATCATGACTAATCGCGACTGTCACAATTGTAAAAGGTAGAAGTTTTGTAACAAAAAAAGGGAAGTGGTTAATCTTACAGTCCAGAAACAGAGGACCCTAGGACCATCAAGAGAGAAGTGCACGAGCAGAGTACGGAACCTTATCCAGAGAAACAGCAGTGCCAGAGATGGAGACATGGAAAGGGGGCGCCGCTGAGGACTCTAGATTCAATTCGTGGCCAGGAGCAGACCTGCAGAATGTGCCCTTTGGAGATGTAAATTATTATGTATGTCTGAGTGGTTTTTTTTTTTTGGTTTGTGTGTTTTTTAAAAAAAGCTAAAGTGGACAGAGAGATATACTGTTTATAATCCCCCCCATATACCATCAGTTAATGAAAACGTTATATGAATTATTGAATATGAAACTGATGATATGCCCTATAAACTTTCACTCAATCCACAATAAAAACCTTAAATTATTAAAAAAAAAAAGGTTGCTGATGATTTGAAGTTCATAAAACAACCTAGAAATGGGAGCCTGGAAGACATAACTGAATTCTCTATTCAATATCCTTTCTTTCCAGCCTAGTGACTTATTTAGGCTGGCCACACGCTCAGCTTCAGGGACTGAATTTTCATTGCTTATCAGCATTGCTGATAGCTAGTGATGGCCACGGGACTTTAGCTAGTTCAGCAGAAGTTAATAAGAAAAGTATTTGGGAACACTTTTTCTTGATTAAAGGAGACTGAGAAGGCAGGCTCAATCCTCTTCTGCACTTCATGCCCTCAACAGAGATGTGATGGTTGAAGCTTCAAAGTCACCTTGTGACCACGAGAGCTTTCTCTTGAGTGACAGAATATTGATGGGGTGGTAAATAAAACATATAAACACAGAAAAATCCAAATTAATGGAGACATAATAATACAAAATTAGGACTAATTATTTGGAGGTAGATCACTATCAAAAACAAACCAAAAAATTATGCAAAAGGCTTACCTCTTCTGAACCATCCTTGGGTTTCATGGGGTTAGCATTGAGTAATCCTATGACAGTGCCTTGCTCAGTCTTCCACAGTTCCTTGTGAACTTCTCTAAACAAGAACAAGGACACACACTGTGTCAAGTCACGAAGGTCATTCAGTCGCCAGATGCTGAATGTTCTCCCCTGAAATAAATATTCTTATTTTAATCATTTTTGAACAATAGATTATACTGTTTCCATTATAGTTCAAGGATCCTAATATTCAGAAATAGATAAATATATTCAAGATCAAATATAATAATCCGAAAACCCATTAAGTCTAAATTAATCCTTTCCCTAGCCTTCAGTATGAAGTGGCTTCAAAAAGTTGTGGAAAAATTCCATTTTTTTTCATTCTATTTCCAGGAGCTTTCTTAAATTCCCTCAGATTACCTTTCTTATTTTAGTGATGAAAGTGAAGGGAAGCCAGTAGCAAACTTATTACTACACACTCCTCCCCAGTCTGAGAACAGTCAGTGGGATAATAGTGCCTCTAATGACACACCAGGTAGCTCTGTGGGTTAATGTGCTGGACTGCAAAGTCGGTCTGAACCCCAAGGTTGGTGGTTCAGGTTCACCAGCCACTCCTAGGAAAACCTATACAAGGTCGCTAGGATTCGGAACTGGCTGGATGGCACTTAACAACAATACACAACACACTTACACGTGTACATACAGTGTTGAAGAAAAAAGGAGCACTGTGCCACTACAGGAGGCCTGGTGTGGCGCTGTGGGCTAATGCGTCAGTCTGCGAAGTCGTTTGAACTTCAAGGCTGGTGGTTCAAGCCCACCAGCTGCTCCTTGGAAAGAGTCATTATGGGTCGGAGTCGGAGTCGACTCGACAGCACTTAACAACAACATCATGCCACTACAATTTAATAACTTACTGATATGAACAGCTATCAGGTAAGCAATAATTCTATTACTCTTGACTAACATAATTATGTTTTAAATAATAATTAAAATAGAGCTGTTTCAGCTCTATGGTATTAAATCTGTGCTTTGCTTAGATTAACAAAAGCATCATTTAAAATAAAACTGCTCTAGAGTTTTAATTTAAAAAAATATTACTATCTGAAGAAATTCAAGTCAAAATGCTGACTACTTATAAACTTCTATTGTAACAGAAAGTTAAAAAACAATACTTTGAATAATGTTGGATTAAGCAGTTTCATGGTGGTATCTGGAGTCCTGGTGTGGGTACTGCAAGTTAATGTGCTGGACTGCAAAGTTGGTTTGAATCATGAGGTTGGTGGTTCAAGATCACCAGTCACTCCTAGGAAACCCTATACAAGATTGCTATGAGTCAGACCAGGATCGGACATTGTTTCGTTCTGCTGTGCATGGACGGGGTCACTATGAGTCGGTTCCGACTTGATGGCACCTGACAACAACAACATAAGTCAGAACCGACTCGGCAGGACTTTAACAACAGCACTGTAGGTTATAGGCAGTGATTTTGGGGATTCTGTTATTTTCTGTGCTTGTGTACAATGTCATTCATGAAAGAATTGAGATCAGCCGCACACTTATTTCAATGCCATGGTAGCCAATTGTGATGCAATCAACAACTGAATAAAATGTAAGCCAAAACTTATCCTTCCCTGCAACAGAGCTAGAACATCGAGTAATCTAAAACCTCAAATAATAGCTATTGCCAGATCTTATAATTATTTATGCATGGCCAAGATCTAAATTAGAGAATGAAATTGGTAGTGAGCATGATTAAGCACAGTATTTTGGCACTGGAAGAGACGTTCCATATCATCAAAGCCATTAACTTCATTTTATAGATAAGTAAATAGAAGTCCTTCCAGAGAAGAAGGAACCTAGCTTAGAATTAGAGTGTTCTTGACCTGCCTGGCCACAAAATACTTTCTCTCCTATGCCTCAGTCAACTGGGATTTACACAAATTATTATATCTTATGTAATATCCATCAAATTAAATATAACATAGATTTCAGCAGAGGCCAGCAACTGTATAACTTCTGCAATTGCCAGCTTACATCTAATGTCAGGATCTCCAAAGATCTGTGAATTCAGCCTGATGTCCTTCTTCTCCACAGGATGGATTACAGCATCATGGGCAACCCCATATGTCACCAATGACAAGGACAAGTGAATTGCAATAATGATTTGGACAACAAAAAGCCATACGACACACATACAACTAGATCTCCTTTAAGTAGGGCATTCTTCACATATAGTCCCCTTGGATACTCACCCAATGGCAGTGCAGCTTTGGAGCTTACTAGTAGCTATTTCATAATGCGAAACTGACAGACCCAGCATGACAAATTAAGAATGCAAGTCCCCAGTATTCGTTTATGGCTTACATTGTTAGAACTCTGGGGAGTGACTTTCTTCACTATCACTCCAAATGTCACCCAGTCCATTTCTTCCAGCGTCTCACTTGCCATCTTCTCCTTGATATGAGACAGTCTGATCAGTTTTCGGCCAACCATTTTTCTGTTCATTTCTGTGGAGGATACACGAGGCCGCCTGAGTGAAGGAAACAGCAACTAGTAGATTAATATGCCAAGAAATAAGGGATTCTCTGTACCAGGTGGTAAAGTGAGGTGCAAGGGGGCAGAAACCTCTATTTTATCAGTTCCTAGGGTGCTAAGTGTATAGTATGAACCAGGCACACACTTTTATGGCAAATAAAAATAATGTTTAAAGCTCTTCCTTGGGTTTAGAACTGGGACTATATAAAAAAACAAGAGAGGCCATAAATTCCTTAAATTCTATAAGTTATAGCATATAAATTCTCCTATTTTAAAAACTATATATAATTAAATTGTACTAAAAGATATTATCATTCTGTTTCAACTATATATATGAAAAAATAGTCTATTCACTAGAGATGGAGGCAGAGATGATGACGGGGAGAGAGAGAGCAGCTGAGGACTCGACTCAGAAAGAGAAAGCCAGGAGGCAACCTTGCAGAATGTGCCCCTGTGTTGTTTAAATGATTATATATTCTTGAGTGCTTTTGTGTACATCCAAAAAAACAAAAACCAGAGGGACTAGAAGGAAAATACTGTGGAATGATGATGCACAGAGAAGATTGTAATCACTGCAATGAAACGATATATAATAGGATGAGTGTAAAACTGATGTTCTCCCATGTAAACTATCACTCAATTCACAATAAAAGCTTAAAAAAAAAAAAAAAGGCTATTACTGTTTCTGTTAATTTCTTATGTGGCGTGGTTGGATACGCACTCGACCTCAAGGTCAGTTTGAACTGCAAGGTTGGTGGTTCAAACTCAAAAGCTGCTCCTCAGAAACCCTATAGAGTTGCTGTATGTTGGAACCGACTTGATGGCACTTCATCACCACCTATTATATAAATAAGACAGAGTCTTAATGTTGTGTGCTGATTCAAACCCAGTGCCATAGCTGATCTTATTGCCTAATCTTGTTAAGTACAAGCTGCTGGCGTTTTATACATCTGCTTGCACAAACAAGCTTTCTAAAAGATTTTCTAAAGTTTTCTGAGACAAAGACAGCCATCTAGTGGTGCACATGAATAGAGAGAGGGTGGCTCTAGTTACTGACCTGAGCCTCAGGCCAGAGAAGGCTTCTACGGAGACTGTCTGAGCAGGTTCCCCAGAACTTCCGGAGGGCTTGATGCTCTGGTCTCTAGGCATCTCACTGAGTTTGTTTCCAGGAATATTTCGGAGTGGTTGGGAGGATGCAGCACTAGACATTCCTAACGTTGAACTTTTAGGCCCTAGAAAATTAACGTAAAATTAATTAAAAAAACAGTCATACTTATCACATACATATATATATGTGTGTGTGTGTGTGTGTATATTTCTTTTTCCTAGAACTGTTTATTTTTCAATGAACACATACAATTAGTAATTTATAAGAGAACAAAGAAAGCTCACACGATCATTTCTGTCCTAGCCTTAAAATCTCTGCAGTGCAGTCAGACAGAGCTTTCCGCAATAATAGAAATGTTTACCCAATTCACACTGGTTATGAATTGGGCTGCCAACTCAAAGTGAGCAGTTGGAAGCTACTAGCTGTTCCGTGGGAGAAAGATGAGGCTTTCTGCTCCCATAAAGATTTACAGCCTCGGAAACCCTGTACAGGGTCACTATGAGTCGGAACCAACTCCACGGTACATAACCAGTACTACCAGCCACGTGTGATCGTTGAACACTTAAAATAAGATGGTTGCTTCTGAATGAATATGCTTTAAATTAAATTTAAATAGCCACAAGTGGTTAGTGGCTACTGTATTAGACATCACTAATTATTCTATGCAAAGATGTGTAATAAATACTTATTATTACTCAGTGCACCGTGGTCGATTTGATAAAGATAGAGTTAAAGCCCTCCTTCAGGAATGTACAATTATTTGTGTACATATCAAATTCTATATGAAGAAAATCCAAAGCTAGCTCCACTTTCTTTTCTTCTTTCCTGTTTTATTTCATTTTATTTTATTTGGGGATGGTATTTTGGGATCTTGGTGTAGCACTGTAGAATAAGCAATGAACTGCTAACCACAGGTCAGTGATTTAAACCCACCAATCGCTCCTCAGAAACCTTATAAGGGTCAATTTAAGTTGAAATTGACTCGACAGCACTTAATAAGAAGAGTGTTGTTGTTGTTAAGTGCTGTTGAGTTGGTTCCGACCCATAGCGACCCCGAATAGGGTTTCCAAGGCTGTAAATCTTTACGGGAGCAAAAAGCTTCATCTTTCTCCTGTGAAGCAGTTGGTAGTTTCAAACTGCTGACCTCGCGGTTCGCAGCCCAATTGGTAACCACTAAGCAAACCAGAGGTCCTTAAGAAGAGTGTAGGAGAAGGACATTATTATATGAATTTAATAGTCTCATGTACTTTTCATATTTGAGAAGCAGTTGATAATTCTCCCAAAGGTTGGAAAACTTGGGTATTTTCTTCAGTAAAATACCACTGTCTTCTTAAATAAGAAGGTGTTTACTTTTGGATAATTGCTCCCATGCTAGGGATAAAGGTGATCTTAGAACTTTAAAAACCATGCTGATGTCCCGCCCCATTGAAACCAAACTTTAGCCATTGCCTAATGACATACCTTAGTAATGTTAAAGGTCCTTTGAGGATGCACAGTATTTGCAAGTGGAGGCACTAAATATGCAACTTGTTGCCAAATAAATATCAACACTCAGAACCTACAGCTATTTTCTTCTTATTGTCATATGCCAATGTTGTTCAAGGGGACCTTTCTTGAACACATGTGAGCAATAAAAAACACTGCTTACTCTAAGCTATGTCATAAGCAAACATTTTGTCTTAGGTCTTCAAAAAACAGTCATCTTGGGGAAACATATTCAGTATAACAAAATCAGTAGGAACCCTTTTTCATTTCATTTCGTGTGTAGATTGCACGCTTGCAGAAACAAAACTTGACGTACTAAACCATATTCCTGGTAAAAATCATCTTTTCTAATGAATGGATCCTCAGGTTGAAGACAACATGGCCTCAACTAAAACTTGTCTATTTTAAAAGGGAATCTGACCCTCCATCTCATAAGCCTGAAGATTAAATTTCTAGACTTCTGGCATGAGAATTCAACCCAGTGGCTACACTTACTACAATCCAAGTAAAACTATAGGACTTTGTTGTCATTGTTAAGGGCTGTCAAGTTGGTTCTGACTCATAGCAACCTTGTATAGGTTTCTTTGGAGTGGCTGGTGGGTTTGAACTGTAAATCTTGTGGTTAGCAGTCCAGTGCTTAGTCTACAGTGCCATACGAGGACTCCGATACCAAAAAAAGAAAAATTCAACTCAATAAAAATTCAGTAAATATGTATTCTGTACCTAAGGATACAATTTGTGATGTACAGAAAGAACACAAGAACAAGCCAAGCAGTGACAAAATGGATTTGAAAATGGAACTAGAGCAGTGAGAAGTCAGTGACGCACGGAGAACTTTACCTGCAGGTGAGACCTTAGGTGCCCGAGCCACCCGCTTGGTTTTTGGTAGAGCAGGAACATCAAGCTCTGCAGAAAAGCATGTTGACTCCTGCAATCTTTGAACCTTCTTCTCCGTAAGTGGGGGACGTGGAGATTTACCTACTTGATTAAAAAGTAAAAGAAATTAGTTAAGAAAGGGGCTCAAAGACTGTTTCGCCACAAGCTGTATGCAGACGTAACGCTGTAATTTCTTAACCAAAATGCCTACTATTCCCAGAATAATTGTCTTATTACCAGAGGACTTGTGCAGAAGGACTGGACTTGCAGGCTGCTTAATTGTTGCTACTCTGAGCTGTTCTTGTAATGATTTCATTTGCTCTTGCAACTTCCTTAATTCATCTAGGAAAGAAAAATATATTAGGAACCAGGCCAGAGAAAAGTCGTTCTATATGAAGGACATATTATACATAAAGAAAATGCTTGGAATACTTCTGGTGCTTCTCTACCCCCAAGTCTGAGATCCATAATACAATCGTGTATTGAAATCACATGATTAATACAGACAAAAACTTCAAAGAGGCCCCCTTAAGTGAAAGGACTTTGATTTCTAGTAATTGAGCCACTAACATCTCTAAGCTAGTTATGAATGTACACCACTGACAGATTTCAAAGATACATATCCACAATTAACACGTTTTAGGAGTACGGATATTTATTTCATGAAATAGGTAGAGTTACCAATATAATAAATTCTGGCTCCTGTATCACAAGTAATAGCAAACTGATAAATTTTTCTATAACTTAAAAATACAAGGATGCTTAAAAAAGTTTGTGGAAACATGGATTTCAAAGATAATGCAAATTTTCCACAAATTTTTTGAAGTCCTCTTGTATATATGAGAAGATGCCAGAAATACAAGTATTCCTCAAAAACTGTTCAGGAATGATCTGCTCTGACAGAATGTGTAGGACCTTCGTAGTTTAAAGATTTATACAATTTTTTTATAAAAAGTCATTTATTTCCATACTGGAACGAGCAGCCAATTTGATGAAACCCATTAGATTGTTGGACATAAAGAAATTAAAGAACCATCATGTATAACTGAACAACAACAACAAAAAGACAATTAGTTCAGGGCACCTTGCAATTCTTGATTAGTTTTCTCTTGACCAGGGGAAGGGGCAGGAGCAGGAACTGGGAGAGTCCTATTTTCAGTTGATTGAGGAGAAGGGACTTCTTCATCTGTTAAATCTTCGGTATCTCCAAAGAGAGTGGCCAGGTTTTCCTTCTGGTCTTCAGTCCTTTCCATTTCTCCATCAACAGGCTCCTCTGAATAAGATTCATCATCATCATCAGCATCAAAGAGTTCATCAAATTGGTCACGTTCACCATCTTCCTGGATCAAGGAGTTGCCCTCCTCTGAATTACAACCCAAAGCGGACTGATTTTCCTCCAGCAATGCAGTCAGCAGAGATAAATCGTCTTCCTCTCCTAGGGAAAAAGAAGACAGTAAGAAATTTAGGCTACTGGGGGAAAAATGCTAATGACAACACTGTAAATAAAAAAAACTTTAATATTAACAAAACTCTTTAAAATCGTTTTCAAAAAATTGGCTCTATAGAGCCACCATTTGTTTGGTCCATTTGTTACTTTCCTTGTTTCTAGATTTCCACTCCTCTGATCTAACGTCTAAAGAAGGGACTTAACATCTTTCTACCTAGATTACTTCAACTAATGAAGTCCCTGTGTGGTGCAGTTTACTCTAGCCTGCTAATCTTAAAGTTGGTGGTTCAAACCCACTATGTGATAGAACCAAAGAAAAGACCTGGTGATCTGTTTCTGTTGAGATTACAGCCAAGAAAACTCTACAGAACAGTTCTCTCTGTGATGCAAGGAGCTTGTTTCCCATGGGTCAGAATCAATGCCATAGCAATTAACAACAACCTCAATTAAGGAGGTAATGAACAAGGGAATACATTTGTCTGAAAAACACACTCATACATTTAGGGCATCCCTCGATCTTTTACAATTTTTGACAAAAAAATTTAAAAATATTTAAACCTTTGTATATATTTAAAAGAGTAATAGGAAAATCTCATCATCCAGAATTAGCCATCAACAACATTCAATTTGTATGTTGTTGTTGTCAGGTGCCATCGAGTCGGAACCGATTCATAGTGACCCCATGTACAGCAGAACGAAACAATGTCCGATCCTGGGCCAACCTCACTACCGCCGCCACACTTGAATCCATCAATGATGTCACCTGGCTGATCCATCTCATTGGGGGGTCTTCCTCTTTTTCTCTGACCCTCCACCTTACCCAGCATGACATCCTTCTCCA